CTCAGGTGTTTTGGTAGGGAAAATTTACGAACATTGTGGTGTTTTGATTTAATTGCAGGAGCTGCAGGATCATCTTGAAACATGTGAACGTTTCCCAGCTGGGGTGTCTAAACAACTGCAAAGCAAAAATTCCTCGAGAAACGGTGCGTCACCTCAGTACTCCCTCTTGTCTTGCCTTGTTTGGTCTTCGGCAATTATTAGAATGTTGCTTTTCGCCATTTCTTTGTGATTAATTATCATGACTTAGATGTGTCATCAATCACTTTTTTTTTTCGTTTAAGTTACAACAAGTCTTGTTTCTTTTGTGATGCACATTTGTGATGCACATTTGTGGTGCCAAGTTTCAAGAACAATGCTTAAATATTTTTAGAGATATCGTTTATTCAGTATTTTACCACTTTTTAGTTGCAAACCTTATGACGTCATCACTGCTCTAATTTGCATAATAGGAAAACGTCAGTATCTCTAAAACGACAAAAGATATTTCAAAAAGAAAAACGCCATTCTTCTGTATTTTGAAAGGCCTTTCAAAGAAGCAGAAATTATTTTTCATGTCATATACACTTTAAAACCTCACAATTTTTCAATAAAGTGATGAACGCACGTGCACAACTGCAAGCATGAAGTTTATACAATACTACGTTGAGAAATGATTGGAAATGATTTGAAGGAATTTAGTAGAATTCTACTAAAAATATTAGATTATGAGCTCGAGATTTCTTTGAAATGATAGTTGATTTGGCCTCCAGCCTCGTCAACTATCACCTCACGCACAGACTGAAATCTCGAGCTTATAATCTAATTGTTAAATAGTAACCTCGGGCTCAAAGTTTTATTGTTAATTAGCATTATTGTTAAAAAGATGCCAAAAAGTTGTCAACAACGGACAGCAGTACAACAACTTTGACTGTAAACAGCGTCAGCCAAATGTGCTCATGTCATCGTTTCTTGCAGGTTTCAAATCACATTGAAAATGATTGTCCTTTGGCCAAAATCCCGTGTCCATATGCGTGGATGGGCTGCCGCACAGAGGTAAAATGTTTAGGCTAAGTTAAATACAGCCACATTATGACTAAGTTATCCCTGCAGGTTTGTACATTTCCCAATCGCCAAGGCAAGCTCTTAAGAGGATTAATTGGTTTTTAGTTGTCACACTGACTAAGGAACCAGTTCAGTAATGACAGGTGAACGTTTTTTACCCTGGAAGT